CATTATCCCACAATATAACCCCTATATAACCCTGAAAGCATGCCAGCAAGGCTATCCCCTCCAAGGCGATGTGGCGCAATCTTGAGACGCTAACTGGCACAGACTCGACCTGGCATGGCGGGGCAGTCTACTCTTTGTGTCCTTACATGGAATTTACGGGAATCTATGGGGATTATGAGGTGGAATTACGTGGGCATTACAGTTTAGGGTTTAGAGTTTAGGGGCATAGTCTATTGTTTCGTACTATCGTTTCGTACTATCGCACAAGCTAAGATGGAAAATCAGTCTGTAGTCCTTCTGTGGATGGAGCAAGTCTTGCACCATGCTTTAAACCTTATACGCTAGGAGTTACAGTACATTGGGGATCTGACGTGAGACAGATTTCCTCCATCCACCGTTGTGGGGCGTGTTTTGGGCTTGGGGTTTAGGATGTAGGGCTCAGGAATATGAATATGGTTGAAGAACCTTCCACACAAGAATCACCAACTGTACAAGTTACAAACGCCCAGCTCAGCCAGCAGAAGAATGATCTTTTGTTGGGAGACTGAGTTTTCTTACCTTGGTTGACCTGTGGAGCCCATTGAAAATATTAGTATACAGGGTCCTTCCGAAAGCGATATGGGGAAATATTCAATTAACATATCAAAGGCCAACCCAGTTTCAGGAGCCTACCCCAAATCTTACAACCACCTACAACCTACCATATGGCTTCATGAGACTCTTTAAAACCATGATCCCTGCCGCACACACGTGCAGACATCTGAGTCTGCGTACATGCAGATGCTTGAATCTGGTTTGAGTGACTGACAATCCCGTGTGCAAGCTAGAGGACTGGCGTTATTCCCTTTTGGCAGACACATTTGGTAGTTTCCCCCTTGGTAAGGGACCCCAATGCAGACCCTAAACCCTAAACCCCTAAATACTATAGCCCTTAGATTATGGGGACCCCTAACATGGTACCCCTAATTTTGGGAAATCCCCACGTTTGCAAGGATGCCGCCAGCAGCTTTGCTAGTGCCTTGAAACTGTTGCAGTTTCAGGCACAACCCTGAACCCTAAACCCTACATAGTAGTGTCCATTTCATTTTCCATTATCCCTAGCCTAGATTATACCCCCAATATACCGCAATATTACCGTTCAGGCTGGAAAAGAAAATGGAAACTACTATTTAGGGTTAGATTGGGGCTATATTGGGCTTTAATTTGGACGCGGCTCCAGATGCTTGACGTGCGTTAAGGAGAAAAATCGGGGGGAAAAAAAAAGCACGCAGGGTGCAAATTTCAAGTTTGCGCCGCGAATTCCATTCCATTAGGTCGCGAATCATCACAAGTACCAGGGCCCCAACGGGATTGAGGCAAACGCTTTCCAAAACTATCATGGTCTCTGACATCCTTGCCGAGGGCTTGTTCTTGATTCTAAAGTCCCTATAAGAAATATCCTACCATTTGGCATTTTCAAGGGGGCGCTCTCTATTTCGAGACATGCCCAGTGAAACAACTTGCGCACCTCGCCATTGGCAATGGCCTGCCTAGCGATTGAATTTAGGGTTTGGGTTCAGGGTTTAAGGTTCCATATGCAGCATTAGCTTCCCGCGAATAGGAACAGTCATGGCAACGGCAATTGTAAAAGTAAGAGCAACAGCAACAATACTTGTAGCAATAGAAGTAGTGGCAGTGGACACCTTCCACATTGTGCTAAATAAGCATTGCAGGGGACGGGATGTTTAAAATGAGGAGAAGGATTGCCACTGTTTGTGGTGCACATGCTCACTAGACTTGTTGCCTTCCCAGGCCATAATCATGTGGCAACCCAACATGAAGTAGGAAAAACCTGCGGGTTCACGAGGCCATCTTTGTGCCCAATGTCCCGGGTTCAACACATAAGTGAACAGGATGCCACGCAGCCGCCCAAGCAATCCCGACCATTTTCTGAAAACACCAAACTCATTTTCCAGAACCCAGGCCCCTGATTAACAAACTCCCTCCCCTTAGTAGGGCTTATACTAAGGATCCTAATATTAAGACCCTTAACAGGAGGGGTCCTATCAATAAAGGGTCTACGTTATCTGTTGCAGCCTTACCTGCAGAAGATGATGAAACCACAGGCTGCCTGAGTTTCGACAGCTCTTCTTCCGAGCCAGATTGAGGGCTCAGCGCCGACATTAGCCTGAAACAGAATTCTGATTTAGGGTTTAGGGTTCTGATTTATGGATTTTGGCAGGAACTGATGGCCTGAAAGTAAGTACGCATGGCTGGATTTTTTGTTGTGCATGCGGTTGCCCATGGTGTATCCTGCAAACTGCAAAACAGAATCAGCTGCATTCACAAAGTAATCAGTGTTCTTGCCTGCGGAAAGGGGTTTTGCGAGTGGGCAGTGGGCTCTGCGTCTTTGAAAAGCATGGCCACTGCTGGGTAGGGGTGGATGGTGGACGTGCAGCGGGCCTGTCACTGCCGTGGCTTGGAGCCACGGGGAGGTTCCATTTTGGTGCTTCTACTGGGGGGGTTGCTAAGGAACTTAAGTCAAGTTACTATTTTCAGGAAACCCTATTAAACCCTATGGTTTACCTTTACATACCCATAACATGGTCACTTAGTTTAAGTTTTCAATAGCAGGCCAATGTAGAGCGCAGGCTCTGCCAGGCGTTCATGTAAGAACATGTCTCGGCATCCCACATCGAAGCCAGTGCACACATACACCTTGAACCACACTTCAATCCCGCTTGAGACGCTCTCTCTCTCTCGACCAGATCCCGACGAAAACCTTGGTAAGATCAGGAGTCACCATGCTTCCTGGCCTACTTTTCGCAAGAAAGTAAACACAGGCATGCATAAGTAACAGCCCCAAATACCCTTATCCCTGTACCCTAACCCTGCAGAAGTGCTCAGGGGCAGGTGCTCTTGCCACAGCTCGTCCAGCTCACCGCATAGTCCTGCGACCTGCTTGGACGTGTCAGCTTCTCAAGAGCAGAGGCCCCTGACAGGGTCGCTAGATTCCGCACCTCCCTGCGCAAGATTTGTCAGGGGATAATCGGGGAGTTGGGGTAGGTACATTGGGGGATTAGAGGGGATTTGGGGGGTCCTAGTAATGATGCAGAGGTAGAGTTCCCCCATCCGCATCATAATATGAAAGCCTAAGCCCCCACCCCCCTGATAAGCATCTCCTTGAATTATACCATGGTATACCACAGACTGGGTTGCTGTTAAGGA